AAGCAGATACTTGTAGATTTAATTGCCTTGCTAATGTGCTAATTGCCTGGCTTTTTATCTGGGACACTGATTACTCACAGAGAGGCTTTATTATTGCCTAAATAAATCTCTGCAGGTCTCTCTGATGGTAACGCAGTTTCTGTGAAGGGGGTGATCAATCTAACTCAATCGTGGCCCCGAGGCTCGAGGCTCGAGAGGAGAAGGAGAGGTAACACACAGAGAGAGCTCTAATAAAAGATGCTATCTCTCCTGGTAATCTCAGCAGGCTAATTGAAGTTATTGGACTCCCAAACTTCAGCACTTTATCACAGCACTAATACTCTAACAGCTGCTCAGGGTGAATTTAACACATTGGTGTTAATGCCAGCGTTACGGTGCCTGCGGGATCATTTTGCAAATCTCCCCTGCGAAGAAAAAACAGGAGAAAGGGGCCCTGTAAAGAAAGTGTCGCACAGCCTCAGGCTGGGAGCATTTCTGTAGCTTTGTCCAGGAAGCCCAGAACACGCCTAAACGGAGACCAAAAGACTCAGTCACCCTATCAATCTGTTGGTAAAACCAGGAGTTAAAACTCCTCTGGGTAATGAATAACTACAAGCACTATTTGACACCTTCTAACTTATTATCGCTAAACTTTGAGCCACTCTGTGGTCGCAATCCCTAGTTTGCAGACAAGGCGACTAGGACTTACCTAATAGATCGCACAACCCTGCGGAAGGCCAAGTCGGGGACAAGCAATGAGGGCGGTGAGACTGGCGGCAGAAAGGCAAAGCAGGAGTTCAACCCCAACCCGCTGCCTGACTCCCAGGCTGTGAACGGTTGGTTGCAAGGCCGGTGCTCGAAAGCGCTGCAAGCTCCCCATCGCACAACACCCGGTCCACGGGCTGCGCCGACCCAGGTGGCATTCGAGGGTTTCTGAGCGATTTTAAAGGCTCTTGGAGAAAGGGAGGGGGTAAAGGAGAAGAGGCAGGTCCCAAAGCCAGAAGCGACCCAGAGGCTGTGCTTCAGCCAAGGCAGGGGCAGTGCACTATGACCGTTTATGAGGCCGTCAAGTGGCATTTGCTGTTCGATATCTCTGCAGGTCTCCCCTCAGGGGGTCCACATGAGACTCGGGTCAAAATACAGCACTTCCAAGAATTTAATTAGGTTTTCATTACTTCTTAATTGTTCCCTTTTTTAATAAAAGCGGCCTATTAAAAGAAACTGCTGCAGCTGCAAGATTCCTTTTATTGGTCAATGCTATGCTTTTCCAAGGGGCACAGGGGAAAATTGATACGATTGTAACTCCAAAAGGAAAAAAGAATATTTTCCATGTTATCATTTCCACTGACATCAGCCCTAGGATTCGGCCAGGCCTGGGACCCAGGTACGCTGCAAGCCAGGGCCCCTCGCTCCGCTTTAGACCGACCCATAGCAGCACAGAGCGAAGTAACAGCAACGCGCTACAAATCCAGCTTCAGCTCCAAGCCAAAAGCTTGGGGCTTTAGCAACCTGCGGGAAAAACAATGTGACAGCAAACCTACGCAGAGCAGAAGGTGTGCAAACGTCACTAAGAAGTGGGCTGAGAAAAGTCAGGACAAAACCCAATTACTGGCTACGCAAACTCAGAGGCCAAAATGCAAGTGCCTAAAGAAAAGACATCCTAAGCTACTGCTGCTCTCCAGCGCGGCCAGAACACGCACCTGAATTTATGAGGCTGTGAGGTTATTGCAAAGCAGCGCCTGGTCCTCGGCCCAGACTACACAGGGCTTAAAATTGCAGCTGGAGCTCGCATCGAATGACGGTAGCAGACCCCAGATGAGGAATGTATTATCCCCAACGAGATGTGCCTTGGGTCTGGCCTCCGACTACCACATGCCCAGGGCTTTCCAAAAATAAAAGGTGTTCACGTGATGGAAAAGGCAGGCTGTGCATCCCTTTACTGTGTCACTGCATCGAGAATTTCCTGCACATCTATTTGCTCTCTTTGACATCTTTCCCTCCACATTGTTTCCCCCCCCTCCTGCACATGCAAAGGGGACAGGTAGGTTTGTCCTCTGTTTTCCACCGATGCTGCAGAGCCAGCAGCCTCCCTCGTGCTAAGGGGAACGGCGGGACCCTCCCGGGGTACCTCCAAGCTCAGCCTCACAGAGATGCTTACTTTTATTAGAACAGCTCGAAAAAAAAAACACGACAAAGGAGGGCCTTCTAGCTCGAAATATCAAAGAGATGGTGTTTGCATGCAGGGAGCAATGCAGAGCTTCTGCCCAAGTGGCCCCCAGGAGAGGGCAGGGGGCGGCAGCGGCGTTCCTGAATCACGCCCGGCGCCTTGGCCCCACGGCCGGTTCGGACAGACTCAGCAGAAGGTGTCTCTCAGGATGCTAGGAGCGACATGACGTTAGTCAAAAGACATCCGCTTATCCCAGGGCTCATTTACCTCCTGGCTGAGGACCCCAGAGGTACAAATGTGAATTATCAATTGTAACTGCACATGCTTCCAGCACCGACTTCTCCCTCAAAACATCTCCCCCAGCAATACAGCAAAAGCAGGGCACGGGGCCATGAGCAAATAAAAAAAATTCAAAAAGTCTTCTGGAGTAAGGGATCCAGCTGTTAACAGCAGATTTCATCACTCGTTTATTCCGAACCTGCTAGGAATATGCTGCATTTTAACGTCCCCCTTTTTAAGATGTCCCGGCAGGCAGCCACCCTGGAGATTTGAGTCACAGGACCCAGAGGCAGGACCTTATTTACGAACTCTTCAGACCAGCCTGTCACCCTGCTGCCTTCGAGTCTGAGGATCTCGGCATCTCCTCCGTCCTTTCCCTCCTCCTTCACAAAACACCCCTGGGACGGATCTCTGTTAGTCACTTATGTCAGCGCACATCAGCCAGTGAGATCCCTGGGTCTGGCCGAAGGGATGAGCCCCCCGAGAAGAGCTTTCCCTCTCCATGTGAGACCTCCCCAGCGTGACACCGTCCCAGAAAAACGTCCCTTGAGCGTCCCCAGGCTCCTCTGAAAGCCTCTAGAAGTTTGAGAAGCTCCGGGAGTGACGCTGCCGTCGCCTGCAGGATCATTTTCCGTGCCGCAAACCCCCCCACACTCAGCTTCGAGGACAGTGCGGCTAAGTGTGCCCAGGAACGGAAACTGTTCAGACTTGGATGGGGTGAGAGCAGCTGAAGCAAGCAAACCCGAAGGCAATCGGGAAAGCCGCCGTCATTGCTTAAGCTTGCAAAGTAACGGACAAAGTGCTGGGCGTTTGGAGCTGCACCCAGGGCGCAGGCATGTCAGAAAGGGCGAGGGAGCCCTTTACCACGGAGAGAAAAATACACAGCGTTGGGGATGGCTGGGGCACACGGCTGCAAAAACCCCGGTGCACGAGAGCAGTGGGAGCACGGTCAGCCCCAGCTGCTTTTAACTGCAGAGGAAGCTTTTACTTTTCATTGCACAGGGAGGCGGAGGGGAGACAAAGTGGCCAACAGTTGTGCTGAATTTATTCCCTCGACGTGTGTGTGTTGAAGCATTTAAAAGCCTCGGCCCGGGCCTGCGTGACAAGCAGCTGTAATTCCACCCTAATCCGCTCACAGCTGCGCGGGGTCAAAGAGCGCAACAGCTGAAACGCGCTTTTGCTACATACGCTTTAGGTTGCCCAAACGTACCCTGGGGGGTTCTGCCTTGTGATTTCCATTGAAGTTAGCAGGCGAGATTCACTGCTGGCGTAAGTGAACACCGATCCATCAAGATCCCCTATATTTAGCTCGTCACGGCTAAATAAACGGTGCAGAGCCATTGCAAAAGAGAGCCTGGGAGTCGGACTGTGCAGTCCCCAGACGCCACTCTGCGTTGGCAGCGGTGCCTCCCTTCCTTGCCAAATGTACAGCTCCGAGATGCTGGGAAACCTGCAGGCTCACCGGGGAGGCAGCAGGGGCAGGAGCCTGGGGTTCTGCAGCAGCAAACCGGCAGCTCCAACTTCATATGCTGGCCATCGGCCAGCTTGCAAAGAGAAAGTCCTCAGCTAGCTCCTGAGCCTCCCCATCTGTCTCCCAAACAAGCCACCAGAGCTCCTGCCACCGCACAGAAGTACTGCTGCCTTCCGGGCCTTGCATGAATCAACAGGAGAGGAGATAGAAGTCATGATGTATGTCCTGTTGTTCCTGACCTAGAGAGATGCTTAAAATGTTCTTGGCTACTAGTGGGAACCACCAGCTTCGTAAAACAAAGCATGAAAATGAAGTTCCAGTTCCACTAATGTACACGCACACACATCCTGCCCATTGCTCCTCACTGCCAAGGAAGTATTTATTAAAAGTCTCCATTTGTTTCTCATGCTATACCCCCATAAAGCTCCAAAGCCACTGGAAACACGTGCACCAGTGGACTTTCCATATGAAAAATGTCCTTTCTTCCGCTGGAATGGCCTACAGGGTGAACTACTCCTCCACTGAGGAGAAAGAGGCACTTCATCTAGCTTACCCTCAGTAGGTGCCTACATCTGCTCGCACAAACCGTGCTCTCAGGAGCCTGTTTTCCCCAGCAGCTAAGGAGAGAGCTTAGGGCGATTAGTTTGGAAGTAGATGCTCGTGCTGAAATTAGGCAAGAGCAATCCCTTACAACACCTCATGGTCCAGATAAGGCCATAGCTTTCAGTACAAATGGGCATGAGATGAACCCAAAAGTGAAAAAGCAAAGCTCTACTCCTGAACATTTAAGATGAGGTCAAAGTACGGGGTCTGCAAACAGCAAAAGCCAGCAATGACCACGTCAGATTAGAACAGGATCACAAGCAATGCTGGTTTCCAACTATCGCCCACGAGCAGGTCACATACAGGGCTTTGCTCAGGTTGGTGAGAAGTTAATGCAGAGATCAGCTTTGAAAACAAGAGTTTAACATCTCCCCTCCAGTGTTGCTGCCAAAGGACCAGGAAAATCAGGAATCCACTGGTCTGCAACCATACGTGTTTGCGTTTGCAAGCGATGTGGTTCCACTTAGAAAGCTAGCGTGGGATAGTAAATTAAACCCTTACCCGGTTGTCCTCTTGAATCTCCCAGTCACTGGCGAAGCTGAGGGCATGCTGCGCCTGCGAGCAGTTGGAGAACTGGAAAAGGCTGGAAAACATCCTCCTGTTCTCCTGGGTGTCGGGGAATATTGCTTCCTGGAAGTTTACTCCGTGAGGGAGGAGGATGTAATTCTCATCCATCCTGAAACACAAGCCCGGCCGGCGGGCTACGGTTAAGGACCGTGTTTTACCGTCCCCAGGAGGGCCGGGCCGGGCTGCGGGGCACCCGGCGGAGGGCGCATCGCCGCGGGCGCGCTGCGCGGCACTCACCGGAGGAAGAAGAAGTAGGCGTAACCCTGCAGCACGGTGAGCGAGAGGCAGGGGAAAAAAC